GTTGCAAGCGAAAGTTTTTTTTTGTTGCGGGCGAGGCACACGAAAATCGAGTCGTCTGTGGACGAGGGAAAGGGGCGGTTGAACATTTTCTCGCGACGAAAGAAGTACCAAAGCAAGTACCGCCGTAGACAGCGAGCAAGACGGAGAGGGGCATGAGAGTTCCACGTCCATTCTATGTTCCCCGGGTTGCGCTTCCAAACGTACTGACGAGTGTTTTCAACAAACGTCCAGAACAAACGGGATGCGGAAAGCACGCCTTCATTTAAGGCTGTATCCCCGCCCTCCACCCTCCGCCCCTCCCCTCACCCCCACGTGCCTCTTTCCTTCCTCGGCAGGCGTCGGATAGTCCGCAATGCCAGACAAACCCTGCGGAGCTCACGTCGACGTGGGTCAGGTAAGGACCCCCCACACACATGCGCGAGCGCATCACATTGCGAAAATGGCGTGCAAGTTGTATCGGCTTGAGGGCAGAATGCCCGTGCTGCGAGACACAGCAACGCCGAATCATTGTTGTCGGCGCACCCCTGGCGAAATTCCCCGGCGGGGCCCGCCCACAGGCACACGTACCTGCTTCGTCTTGAAGAAGAGGGGGTTCGTGGATCAATCGTCAAGTTGTGGCGGGGCTCCCCCCCCGTCATTCCGCGTCGCGAAACGAGGCAGCGTTTGTGCTTTACTGAAGAATGATCAATCATCATGTGACACCTTTGAACGCAGTGGTTTGTTTCAAGACGATCTGTTTGAAACGTACGTGTAGTTGGCTGGCACTATACTAAGTAGCGACCTCTCTCCCGTCTGTCTGGTGGCTCAATACCACAATTGAGAACTCTTTCGCGAACAACACGCGGTGTGTGCATTCCGAAAACCTTGCCAGTTCAGTCGGGAGCAGGCGCCAAGACGATGAGCGAAATTTTTTGGCAACACGCGGAAGCGAAATCACGGTTCGTCGTCCCTCTCTTGTCTTGTTTTATCGCGAGTAGGGTGGAATCGGACGGGGACGTGACTACCGAGACAACAGTAGAAGTCGTTTGCGATACGCCGGAGGTCGTGGATGGCGACAGCGATGGCGGCCTTTCGAACAAGACCGTCGTCGTGCTGCTCATCGGTAAGCAAACGATTTTTTCTTCAATGTCGTCGAAGCTCTTCTCTTTTTCGTCTTCTGTTTGTCGTACGCTTTTTTCGTTCGAGCAGTACGTCGTTGTTTTTGTTTAGTATTGTTCTTGGCTCTTTTTGTAACATGGCCGTGTCGTGCTTCTCATCGGTGTGCATTTTTTTTTTTCGTGAATTCACCACTCTTTCTTTTTTTGTTTTACTTTTTTTTCCGTCCTGTGAAGTAACGGGCTCTGTTGGAACAGGATATCGTGTTTGTCATCTGCAAGCAAACTTGTTTTCATTTATTCGAACCTTATATTCTCCGTTTGTTTTGTCAATTTGATTCGAAAACACCCAGTTTGTTTCTTCCATTGTTTTTTCTAAAATACTATTTAGGTCTTTTTTTGTTTCCGCAGAGGCGGAAGCGGCAGGTGCGTTGTTGCTTGGTCTTTGTACCCATAGGTACACTTCACACAACGCCTTCGCTGACATTTTTGATGGACAGCTTGCTTCCAAGATCGTTTTTCCAACGACGAAAATTATTCTCAGGGATAGATGGCACTTGTAGGGTTTGCGTGTGTGTCCTGATGCTGATGTCGTCAGCGGCCTTGGGCGTCGACACAACAAGCTGTGGAACAGAGGCGCAGCTGCATTTCGACTACCCTTTTTGTGCCCACCGGTGACCTTTGCTCCTGGCGTTCCGTCCCCCTTGGCTGTGTTTTGTCTCTCGACCCCTCCATGCCATGTGTGCAGTCGTCGGTGCGGGTTTCATGCTGCTCATGTGCCTGGGGGCCCTGGCGTGCTGCATCCACAAGGGACCGCAAGCCCCCGAAGAGAACATCTTGGTGAGTGAAGGGAAGGGAAGGGTTGGTAAGTGAAGGGATGGGAAGGGAAGGGGGTCGAACAAACATATATTACGGGGATACACCGTAGGCAGGGAGAGGTGTTTGGTTTGGAAGGGTGTCCGTCTCGTCGGCGTGGTGGCTCGCGTCCGTTTTAGACATTTTCACCGTCAGTGTCTTGTAGACCCATGACCTTCGTCGTTTGTCGTGAAAAAAACGCTGTGCTGGAATGTCTCGGCTGCTCCCCCTTCGCTTGCACTCGGTGATGCCATTCGTCCGCCCCCGCCCCCGGAAGACCTCTGCTTTGTGGACCCGTTGTTAACGCATACCTGGTGTTTGACTTGTTGTGTTTTCTGCTCTGTTCTCGTGTTTTGTGACTCCCGTTCGTATAGCCGCCTGGAGAGCTCCCGGAGGAAGGCTCTGTCATCGGCGGAAAGGTGAGAGCTGGGCACATGGGTGTGGTCGATGGTGCCGGTGGTATTTGACGGTGGTAAGCCCTTTAGTACCACCGTAGCAGTGCGGCGGCAGCACGGTTCGAACGATGTGTTCGCTGTGATTATTATTTCCATGCACTCCTCCGGAAGACCACACGACAAATCGAGACCGCACTAGCCGACCCACCCAATGCCCCCTCGCGCAACCAACCCCCCGCCCCCGTCTCTTCCTTTTGCGTCGCCCCCTCCCCCCCCCCCCCCCCCCCTTTTTCTCGGGGGGGGCCCTC